ATATGGTGGCCTTCTTTTTATTTACTAGGTATTTTCTAAGATTCCTTTCAACCCTGTGATGCTGATTGTTACCTTTATTATTTGGACACATTTGTTATTTCTAAATACGCTAAGAGTATCTTTCTATGGGATGAGAATTGTGGTGTACTTTGAGAAATAGTGTGCTTTCTAAAAAGAATGGATTAAATGACTGAATTCAGTGGTACTATGCTACTTTCCTATCCCATAATATATTAGGAAAATGTGATTCCAGAAATTGTCAGCACTAAATACTTAGTAACCTTAGGGTTTCATTAAATGATCAATGCTTTTCTTTCCTTGCTCAGCTAGGGACTATGGCCAAGCTCCCCTGGAAGTGGGGCTGGGGTTGGGGGTTGGGGAGTAGCTCATGATGGTGACTTTTTATCAGAGGCATTAGGAGGCAGAAGGTTCTCTCACCTGATGAGTTTTTCAAAGCCACACTAGTGATTTGAAGTGTCCCCCAAGTCCTGATATGAAGATCCTTTTAGTGGTGAGATGAATTGGAGAAATCTGAATCTTGTCTGCTCTGTGCGAGCTTAATAGAAAAAACTGTAAAATTATGTACAATTTTCCCTTTTCATCTTAAATCTTCAAAGAATTGGGAAGAAGTTACTCAGCAGACTTTGGGCACTTGCTAAATGGCCGGCCGTGCTTAGCCTGACATGCTCGGATGTTGAAGAATAGCGTGTATCCCTGTCTTCTTTGGTCAGTGAACGGTTGTCAGATAGTAACAGATGCAGAGACAGGTAGAGCAATGGCAAGACGTGAGGTCTTAGGTCTGCTTCTGCTCGTGGGGCTAGGAGGCCTCTCTGAAGATAGTACACTTGTGTGGAAACTTACTAAAGTGACAGAGTGAGCCATGAGCTGTAGGTATATCTTGGAGAGGCAGGTTTGAAAGAGATGAAAGGGTGAGAGGGAAGGTCTTGAGGGAAGAGGACTGAGGCCTACTTGGTGGTAGTTGTCTGATGAAGGGAAAAGTCAGGGAAATGAAGATGGGACGTCACAGGAGTGATAGGGTATGACTTTCGTTATAACATGCGTCATTGTGACTGCTATATTGAGACTATGTGGGGGCCAGAGTGGAATCAGGGATGTCATTAGGGTTGTTACAGTGACCTAAGATAGACAAGATACTAGCTTGAACTAAGATGTCTGCAGGGGAGGTGGTGAGAGTAGTTGGCTTATTAGAACGCAGTAGGAATGTTTATTAAATCATAAGTCAGGCATTCAACAGGTGTTCCTGTTTGTTACTTTCTGATGGAAATAGGGTCAGGCTAAGATGGGTGAGTGCACAATCATGTCTGTAGTGCCAGCTCTTTGTACATCCTCTAGTCATGTACTAGACACACATCATGCACTTTGTTTATGAGCAAATAATTTGACATTTATTGGGCAGCTTATGTGGGCTGGTCATCTTGGCAGAGTTATTATTTGTTATGGGATAATAAAAATAATTATAATAGCAAACACCTATCTATTGTGTGCTGTTGGTAGTATAAATGTTTTATAACAGCTCTATAAGGGAGGTACTATTATAACTTCCATTTTCCTGATGAGGGAACTGAGTCACAGAGAACTAAAATACTTGTACAGGCTTATAAAATTAAGGATATGGAATTTGATCCAGGTTGTCCAGCTTCAAAATCTTGACTTTCACCCACACTATCCCACTTTTGGGATGAACAGAATATGCTTAAGTGCTCTATGAAGTAAACAGAGAAGACAGGTTATTTATTGTTCAGTAGATAACTTGCGAAAGAAAGTATATTCGAGTTAGGCTTCAAGAAATGGTGAAGATTTCACTGTGGGAAGATAATGATTAGTAATAAAAATAAATATGGAAGTGAATGTTCACTTAAGCACTCACCACCTACTGAACACTATTTTAGCATTTTTGATGGATTTTCTCATTTAATCTTTACCAGGACTGAGGTACCTTTGAAAATATTCATTTCATGGCAAGGTAGATACAGACTGGTGCCTGTATTTATAACTCTAGAAAGTGGAAAAGGTGAAATTTGAGTCTGACTCCAGACTCGTGAGCAGTGTGTTGGATTGGGCATAACACCCTAGGGAAGAGGGTGATAAGGCTTGGTGGGTGTAGGAGGGCATAAAGCATATACGTGAGGAATTTAAAAACTCCTTTACTAAATTTTATGAAGCATCTCTGTCATTGTTGGAGATTTACAAATATAAACTCCTAGACCTATTTCAATAGGTGTTTCTGTAGAGCAGCCACACACTAGTACCTGGAGAGCCACTGACCTAGGCCTGGCTTGCCATTGTGCCAAAGTGGAGGATAAATCCTGGAGGCTTTCAAATTCATAGTAAGGAGTTTGTGCCTGGTAGACTTTTATAGAGTTCAGCAGATCTGACTCTTTGTATATGACGATGTTTTGGTGGACACTTCTGGGTGACCAGACAGTTAAACAGTTCCCTGATTGGAAGATGGTGCTGGCATTAAAGTGCCAGGAGGATTGGGGGCTTGCTGGAGGGAGCCTCATCTGGGTCACAAAAGGGAATCCAATTCATTAGATTCATTAGCCATATTCAGCATGTTGAGCAATAGCATGCTGATAGCAGAGAGGGTGGTTTTACTTAGAGCATTTGGTGTCTTTGTTTTTGAGTCAGTTACCCAGGAAGTATATGCTGCTTCTCCAAGGAAAAGAAAGGGCTTTGTTTATTAAAATACAAATCCACAGACTCACATGCACAAAAGTAAAATGAACAAAATGGCTGCTTAACCACTTCTACTATCCCTATAAGCCTCTTATCTCTTAAACATGACCCAAGCACTCTGGAAATTTCTAAGATCTAGTTATTGATGTTTGTTAAGAAGTAATTCATTCTATTCTCATGGGTTCATGGGAAGCCTCCACAGAGAAAGTAATGCCTCCCTATTTAGAATTTTAAATAGCACATAGGATTTTGCAAATGTTTTGATTTGCAGGCAGATACAGTATATGCAGAAGGTATGGGTCCATTAAGCAGTTGGTTGTCTGGGGAATGATAATTAACATTAGTGAGCTAAAGGAAATGAAGGATGTTGGTAGGATGTTTGGCATGGTTTGAACTTGAGCCTTGGGTTAGTACATAGGAACACCTACAGTGCAGGAAACATATGAGGAGTGGTGCCTGGAAGGTAATTGCTGTTTTCATCACCGATTGCTGTTATTTTTGTTAGACCAGCCCTAGTATTGGCACCATTAAAAATTTTAGCCTTTATCCTGTTTAGGTGTTATTAATTCACTAATTCAAGGAAATGAGGCCACGGGATTTGTTCAGAGACTGTTACGGTAATTCAGGCAAGAAATGAGATGAGCTCTGAACCTTGGCAAGAACAGGAAGGACAGAAGAGTTGTATTAGTCAGTTTGGGCTGCTGTTGTAACAAGTACCACAGGAAGCTTGGCTTAAAAAACATTTTCTAATAGTCACAGAAGTTGGAAAGTCCAAGGTCAAGGTGCTAACCATTTCGTGATGTGCTACCCAATTAGAAAATGTATTTGTTCACAAAATAATTGTGGAGAGTAAGCATGGTATATCTGAGAATCAGGTTTATACATGGCACTGAGGTTTTAACTGTCTACCTTTTTTTTCCTGGCACGTCATTTTCAGTGTAACACAGGGATCCTTGTTGACAGACGTTTCCTGCCTTTCATCTCATATATATTTTTAATTTTCTGTTCCTATAGTGCTGCTGAAGACAACACATGCTTTCCCCCTTATCCTATATTGTTTATCAATAGTTGCTGATATTTTTGAATAGTTAAGGCAGTAGTTTATGGACCATTGGCATGCAACGCATGCAGAGGCCGAGTTGGACCTTTTGGAGAGCTACTTTGAGATGTGATTTCCAGAATCATTGCATTAGAGCTTGTTTAGGTAAATTTATCTTATTTGGGTGTGTTACACTATATTACCTACTTAGTATATGGGTGATACCATATATTCTGTACTTTTATCTATTTATTGAACATAATATATAAAAGTTGGTACATACCTTACATTTTCACAAGCTGAACACAGCTCTATATACATCTAGATAAATGGACTTGCAATTTTTTTAAATGACATTATTTGGGAGAAAAATGATTCTGAATCTGCTGCATTAAAAAAAGTGACCTATAAATTTCTTTGGTTTATCCAATGCTTGTAGGGATTGTTCAACCTAATCTCATTTTGTATATCAGTATGGCATATATAAAACTGCTACTTCATTGACATTAAAATTATTGAGGAATATGTCTTGTGCTTTTTAAGAGACTCTCTGAAGAATGTATAGAAAAAGAGAAAGTTTTTCATGATTAGTTATTGTTAAGGAGAATTTGAAAAATCAAAGGAAAAGTTTAACATGTTCTATCAATGCCTATTAGCGGTTTTATTTAACAGAGTAGAGATTTTTGATTCTACTCTAATTCCTGTTCTCAGTTTGCTGTTTACTATTTGATTAGAACACAGAATCCGGAAGTCATCTGTTATCTTTTAGATTTTTGTGCAGGGGAAAGATAACCCTAAAGGTTATGGTTTTATCGCCCTGTCAGCCATTAACCTTTTCTTGCATTTCTTTTAATTCTAACCAACTTATCTTGTTCTAACACTTTTTAAGAAAAGAGCCTAGAATTCTAAGGATGCATAAGTTTATATCACACATGCTTTTGGAACCATCTTACTGGTTCCCTGGTCAATTAACAAGATGCATAAAACATTGGACTCATTCATTTTGTTTGTGTGTGAGAGTCATTTTTACTTTTTTGAGAATCATCTCTTGATACTATCATAGCTTTTCTGTTCTGTTCCTTCACATGCTACCTAGGAATTGCCTTTAGAGGGCATGCGACATAAAGCACAAAGATTCCAAACTTTCTGTGAGGGGAAATAATTAGTCTCTTTTTGTCACTGCTTCAGAGAAAGTTTAGGATGCAAAACTAGGTTTTAATTGCTAAATGTGCTAATAAATTAATTTTCCTTATTGTCCCAGGTTGTAGCACCTAAAGCATCCACTGCAGAGAAAATAACATTGGAGACATTTTCTGGTCACCAGTGATATCAGAGGAAAAACCAGTGTCGACGCGTGCTCGCCTGTGTGTGTCTCATTGAACTGCTTATTATAAATCTACTTAGTAATGAAGCCACCATTATGTCCTCCGTCAGTGAAGTAAATGTTGATATCAGAGATTTCCTGATGAGCATTAATTTGGAGCAGTATCTCCTACACTTCCGGGAGTTTGGTTTTAATACTGTGAAGGACTGTGCGGCCATCAATGACAGCGTGCTCCACAAAATTGGAATATTGCCTACAGGACACCGGAGGAGGATACTTAAACAGTTACAGATAATCTTGACAAAAATGCAAGATATCCCAATATATGCTAATGTTCATAAAGCAAAGAAGAATGAGGAGACTTCCAAGGATGGCCAGGCTCCCTCTTCTGATCAGAATACCTGTGTAGAACCTGCAGATCCAGGTAGTGCTCAGACACCTAGCCCAACACATTTGGAGAGTGTTACAGAAAGTCTTGATCAAAATGACATCGATGTGGAAAACAGCCAATCTCTTCAATCAGATGATAAATTGTCTCTTCCTAAACACAACTTTTCCGTTCCAGAAGAAGAACCACACCCGAATTTGGGTTCTTTTCAAGATTCTTTACTTGGTAATGATAGTATTAAAATAGACTCTTCGATTACAACGAAAAATATGGATTGCACAATTGTAAAACAAACAGAAAACGTTGATTTAATCTCAGAAAATGTGAGCGAGCCTCCTAACTCAGATGCTGAATGCCTTTCTTCTCTCGGCTGTTCAAAATGGGAAGCAAATTCTGGAAATGGAACTAATGGTTTATTAGAAAAATCCCTACCATCACCATTCTTTCAATTTCAAGGAGAAATGGTTGTAAATGATTTATATATTCCATCGTCACCCATCCTAACGCCTATGAGAAGTCGTAGCAAGTTGGTTTCAAGACCTTCTCGATCTTTTCTGCTAAGACATCGACCTGTACCCGAGATTCCAGGGTCAACAAATGGACTTTCAGGGAGGTAAGAATTTTTATGATAAGTTGTATGTGTTCACCCTGGGGGGAAGTTAGTTTGTTTTTTTAAATTTTTTTAATTTAAATTTTTTATTTTTTTAAAGATTTATTTATTTATTTATTTATTTATTTATTTATTTATTTATACAAGCACTGGGTACATTCAGAAGCGCAGGAGGGTGAGAGGATTCACTAGAGCCAGAGCGGGGAACAGAACAGGCAGACTGACAAAATATACTGCTGAGGGGAGCAGCGGGTGAGACAGGAGAGGTCTGTGCGCCATTTGGGACAGATGGGGATTGGCAGAGGCTGTGGGCAGCTTCGCAGCCCAGTGCTCAACTGCTGCGCCACCAGGGGAGGCCCTAGTGTTTTGTTTTTTTTTTTTTTTTTCTTTAAACAATTATATTTTCATTGTTTTTTCCCCTAAATTTGACTTATCAATTATTTATGCAGCCAAACTTTTCTCTTTCTTATGCCTTTCACTGTTCTCCAGGGTCTGTTTCCACCTCCTAATTGCCTGGGACTTATTAACTTTCCCCCAGGTCATTGGGACAATTCCCATCCCACATTCTAACTGGATATTCCCTTTCCCTGCCTTCCCTCCACAGCTGGCATTGTGTTCTTCCCTGAGAGCGGTTGGTTTGCATTTTGAATTGCTGATTCTGTCTCTGTTAGATTATTTGTTCTTTGGCAAGTACCACATTTCTAATACTTGTATCTCTGCTGCCTGGCATAATGCTCAGCAAGATTTAATTCAGTGAACCTCTAGTGAGTACTTGGTACTGTGACTGGGTCATGTATGAAGGAAATAGAGAAGAATAAAGGGTTTGTAGTGGAGGAGACACATGTGAAAATTATGGTTGCTGTACAGCATGAAACCACCAGAGACCGGAACTCCACGGTGAGGGGACCTTTCATACTGTGGGGTTATGGGTCTTTGGGTAACTTCAGAATGTGAGAGGAACTGACTTAACAGCAGAGTGTGCTTTCATCCCTTTCTCACAATTATACCTAAGATAGTTGTGTGGTTTTCTCAGGGTTGTGGTGGGATTTTTTTTTTTTTTTTTTTTCACTGAAAGCTACACTTTTCGCTCTGCTGAGAGTCAGGAGGCTATTCAAGTTTCGTAGTTGCTTGGTGACACAGAAAGCTGTTACAGGTTTCCTGTGCCAGAAGCTGGTACTTCTGCAGGATCCTTCTTTGCTGGTGTCCAGTCTGTACTCTCTTCCAGCTACTTTTTCTTTTGCCTTTGGGCTCCTTTGTAATTACTGCACAAGGTTCTTATTATATCTACAAGAAGAAACATGGAAATTTTGTATTTGCAAGAGAAATGTGGCAATTTGCAAGACTGAGTTAATTTATATACTTTCCATAGGAGCATAAACTCTTGGCGGTTGGAGGCCCTAATGAATTTGACTCTATCTTGGGATCCCTGATACCAATAGCAATGTCTAGTATTTAATAGACATTCGAATAATATTGTCATTTATCAAACACCTAGATACTGGTTTGTTCAGTAAATTTCTTGGGTTATCAGTTCTCACAGTGACCCAGCATAGTAGGTAATATTCCTCCTTTTTCATATGAGGTAACTGAGCCTTAGCTTAATTTTCCCACAATCACTTGAGTAGTGAACTGGGATGTCATTCCTTTACATCTGACTCCAGGAACCACGTTCTTAAGCACTCCTTTTAGAAATATCCTTAAAAATGTTGATTACGTATATAAGAATTGGTGCATCTTTTCATAATGTAGATCACTGATTTTTGTGTGACATGTTAGCTTGAAGATACATTTTGCAAATTTTAAATAATGAAGTGAAAGTAACTGTAAAGGGTCTGCAATGAGTACACACATTAAAACTGTCTTTGCTAGAACAGAATCTTGATGGGAGCCCCAGGGATAACTTTAGACAAGAAACATTTGGCTTAATTTTATTTTTTTAAAGATTTATTTATTTATATAAGAATCGGGGTACAGGCCAGATGCACGGGGGGGTGAGAGAATTCACCAGAGACAGAGTGGGGAATAGAACAGGCAGACTGATGAAATACACTGCTGAGGGGATCAGCAGGGGTGACAGGAGAGGTCTGCCACGCCATGTGGGACCCTCGCTGGCTGGCCAGGATCAAACCCCTTCTGTAGAGGCTACAGACAGCTTCACCGCGTGGCACTCAACTGCCTGCGCCACCAGGGGAGGCCCTGGCTTAACTTTTAAAGATGTACTATTTTTCATGAAATTTTGAGACTCTTGATGTTCTTAGTTGTTAATATAAACTTTATCTCATATAAAGACTTGTAATTCATGTTGTGACTTTAAGTCTTCAAAAATGAGAATTGAAATATTAAACTTAGTAGCGACTTGGTGCTATCTGCACCCGTTATAGCACCCATGGTAGCACCTATTGTAACCTTTCCTGTGATGATGACAGTACATTTACTATGCCTTTGTGGTGCTCAGATCATAAAATGAGAAAGTAAATTATTTCCAGACCACTGTTTTTTCCCGTGTTTACTTACCTGAATTATCAGCAATAGCTGCAAGATTTTAAGGTGTTAGAATACTTGTAAAATAAAACTGGTTTATATAATCCAAGATTCTCTTTAAGCAAATAACATCCAAGTACTATTCAGTACACTCTTTGGCATGCCAAATAACAAGATTTCGTTGCAGTCAATATTTTTAACATAATTTCTTGGTTAAACATTTCACATAACTGTTAAAAGGAATATGCTGGGTGTGTTTTCTACCATGAGGGCCTTTGTTTTGCTCTGCCTGGATGTGTCCACAGCTTGCCTTCCTGCATCTCATTCCTCCTGATTCATGCTGCACAATTGATTCTCCAGGCAGATGGGTTGCAGCACACCTCATTTTACTGTCCTTCACTTTATTGAGGTTCAAGGATGTTGCATTTTTTATGAATTGAAGGTTTGTGGTGATTCTGCAAGTCTTCCAGCTCCATTTTCCCAACAGCACGGGCATACTTCGTGACTCCTTGTCACATCTTGGTAGTTTTCCCAATACTTCAAAAATTTTTTGTTATTATAATGTCTGGTTGGTGATCTGTGATTAGAGATTTGGGTGTTACTATTGTAATCCTTCACCAGCAAAAAGATGACAACTCACAGAAGGCTCAATCGATGATTAACATTTTTGGCAATAAAGTATTTTTTAATAAAGATACATTCGTTGTTTTTTTAGACATAATGCTACCTCACACTTAGTAGACTATAATGTAGTGTAAACATAAATTTTATATGAACTGAGAAACCAAAATATCCTGTGACTAACATTGTTTTGGTGATCTGGAAGCAAACCTAAATGTTTCAGAGGTGTTGCCTGTGGTTTTGTTATGCCTTGAGCTGCTTCCCTGAAGTCCTGCCCCCTCCTTTTATCAGAAAGATTGGACTGGGTGGGACTATGCTAGACATTGAAGGTCAAGATCACGCGCTCGCTCGCTTAATTTATTTTTATTAAAATAACATTTCATTCTAACATTGTAGGAATTTTAGGTGTCATCATTAAAAATCAATATCAGGGTCTCCCTGGTGGCCTAGGGGTTAAGTCTCAGCACTATCACCACTATGGCCTGAGTTATATCCCCAGCCAGGGAGCTAACCCACATATGGTGCAACAGACCTCTCCTGTCTCCATACTGATCCCCTCAGCAGTGTGTTTTGGTAGATCCTGATGTTCTGCTTTCCCCACTCTGTCTCTGGTGTAATCTCTCACCTTCACACCTCTGGCCTACACCCCAGTTCTTCTATGCATAAATAAATCTTTAAAAATAAATGAATAAAAATCAATATCATCTTGGACTACATTAAGTACACTTCTAAATCAGGATCCCCTTGTTGTCTTCTGTTTCTTGAGGGTCATGTCAGAACTGGGCTTGAAGAGTGAACTACTTCCTTGTTGCCTTCACAGAGAGGTTGACCTTGGAGGTGTCCTGGCAGAAAACAGGTCCAACCAGTTACCTTTCCCAGGGAGTCTTAGGTGTGTCCTGTGATCCTTCTGGAAGTTCCTTCCTTAGTGCTCAAGGCAGGAAGGAACTGGTATCTTTCAGTTTAACTTCCTCCCAGTTTAATGATTTTTAGGTTTTTTTCATACAACTTTTGAATCCTTAGCACAAGTCAGAAGCCTTCTCTTTCAGGAGTAGGAGTATTATGGGGGAAGAGAAAGTGAGGAAGCAGAGTTAACACAGGCTGCTTGTAATTGGAATACATCTGCTACAGCTTACTAGAGCCACAGTTGGAGGGCTTTTCAAAAGTTTAAAATCTGAACTTGAAGTCTCCAGTCATCTTTGAACTTTTTATTGAAAATCTTATATCTTTAAAATTTTAGATTTTTTTGCTAGATGTTTGTGTACACCATGTAAATCAGGCAAAAGGGGTCAGTGGTGTGGTGAGTGATAGACTTGGTCTTTTAGCTGTGAATTTAATGTAGTATACATGTTGATTCTGAATGATGGACACCTGAAACATATATAATACAGTGCAGTGTTCAATTAAAAAAATAGAAATGGGTAACAGTATTTTAGCCTTTATGTTGAAATATATATGAGGAAAAATGTATGGAGAAATAATAGTCATTTAGAGTAAGAAAAACATAGAAATTCATTACATATTTTTCATGTCCAGGAAAAACCTCACAAAATATAGCAAAAAAATGCTTAGCAATCTAAAATTCAGATTTTTTTCCCTATAAAATGTCTTTTTGTAAAATTCTATGGAAAAAAAGGGCTGATTGTTTCAGTATCTACCAGATTTGGAATGTATAGATAATTATATATAAATGATTCATTTATTGTTACCGAGTAAAGATATATGATGCTATTTTATGAGTAAAATATGTTTTTTTTTCCATAATTGAAAAGTTTACTCTTTGAAAATATATTTGAACAGCAACTTTTACTAATTGATTAAACAGTTTTCCTGATAATGACATTGACTTTTGTGTTTTAATCTTTCTGTAATTATCATTTATTCTAATCCTAAAGATTTTTTTC